GTGGGGGTAACGGGCTGGAAGAAGGGGTCCAGCAGGATGTCCAAGTCACAGTGACCTGCTACCATCCCCTGCAGGACCTTCTTCAGCACTCCCATCCAAGCCTGTGTCGCCTTGGCCCGTCGTTTTTTCCTGGCGTTGTAAATGCGGGATATGTACGCACTGCCGGAACGAAGAGCTATGGAGAAATGAAGACGGTGCCGGTCCTCCCACAAACTCTGGCGCGATGCGTCTACGTAGGCATCGTGGAGATCCACCAGTCCAACAAACCAGCCGTTTACGGGGAACGAGAGAGGATACTCAGACATCGTCTGCTTCTCCCATGGGCGCGAGTTCATCAACAGCCGGAGCTGAGATTCCGTTACGAGACTATTAGTCTCGCCCAGGCGGTCCTTGGATCTCTTGTCTAAAGGGGGGCCCGGACCCATCCACGAAGCTGGAAGGATTATGCGGGACCACAGGTCCTTCACGCTTAATTGCGAGATCGCAAGGGGGCCCACCATAGAGACGGGCCATGGGGCAACGTCTTCGGTCTTGAACACACTTGGCTGGGAGTATCCCGGAATGGATAGGCCCCAGGCGTTGGAACCAGAGGGACCTTTGGATGCTGGCACCCCTTGATCATCAGAGTCGAGACTCTCAGTATCGGACTCAGAAGGACCGAAAAGCTGGATGAACAGGTCGGAATGAGGCGTGGGCGTCTTTTCCGAGCTGGAAGAAGCAGCAGGTGACGTCTGTACTTCGGAAGGAGGCTTGGCCATTGGTTTCCTAGTGGACCCCGCCGGTTTAGGAAGAGGCTTGGACGTTGGTTTCCTAGTGGACCCCGCTGGTTTCGTTGGTTTCCCAGTGGACCCCGCCGGTTTAGGAAGAGACTTGGATGTTGGTTTCCCAGTGGACCCTGCCGGTTTCGTCGGTTTCCCAGTGGACCCCGCCGGTTTGGGAAGAGGCTTGACTTTTGGTTTCCCAGTGGATCCCACCGGTTTGGACTCCGTTGATGTTGGGAGAGGACCGGACTTGGGTGTTCCAGTAGATCCCACGGACGTCGAAGAAGGGCCGGATGTCGTTTTACGAGATAAGTCCACCACCTCTGGAGCGGGTTTCCCCACGGAAGTCACCGGGCTACCACGACGACGAGAGGCACGTGACCGAGCCATCGCCGCTAGCAGAGACTCATCGCTGCTACTGGACTCGTCTTCAGGGCACGGGTGGTCCGACGCTTCTTCGATGAGGAAGGGGCTGGAACTTCGGCAGTAGGAGACCGAGATCTTTTAGCCCTGGAAGGTCCTGGGACCTTAGTCTTAGGCGAGGCAGATCTATTCGCGGCGCTCCGAGCTACGGCTAGCTGTTTCTGGAGTTGGTCCCGTTGGCAGGCGACTTGCTTCACGAGAGCTTTAGAGCGGGCCAGCTCATCTCGAAGTAGTGACACTTGAGATACCGTGGACCGAAGATCGGCCGTGGTGGTTGGTATCCAACTTGGCCTCCAGCTCTTCTATCTGGAGTGTAAAGGTCGTCACAGTGGCTCATACTGGCCCCTCCGGTACCGAATCTTGGACCGAGACGCTTCAACTTCAAGGCGATAATCCTTTTGGGTGGCGAGCGCATCTCGGTATTCCGCAATGGTTAGCTGGTCGGTTTCGTGTCGCGGACGAGCTTCCGAATTCGAGCCTCGATCCGGGGGAGATCAACTTTTCCAAATCGAACGACCTCGTCCACGCGACTCTGCAAGTCTTGGGCCCGGCGATGCTCATCCTGATAGGCCTGCTGGAGGGCCCTATGATTGTCAGCAAGGGTCTCCATAACTTGGGCTCGTTCCATCGCCAGCTGGATCGCTTCCCACGCCCGCGTAACACTCGCATAATCGGGGGGCTCCCCGACAAGGTCTACAGTCGGAATAACCAAGGCAGGGTCAGGTTCAGGCAGTGAAGGGGTAGACCAACGGCCAGGTGCTGGGGGTTCGTCGGAGAAAGAACTGGAAGAGGTCACTGGTGAATAAAAAGTGGGTGAGTTAAGGAATACGGAGGATCGTCAAGCACATAAACACCTACTTATATGTTGAGGAGACGGGACAAGGATGCACGGGGTCTTGCCGCAGTTCGGAAGACCAGCGCGCAGGGGACAGCTGTGGAGAAGTGCCAGAGAAATGGGGTGCCCTTCGTAGTTATTATAATAACTGGCGTGAAAGATCTCGGTCACTCTCTTGAATGAGTGACAGGGAGTGACCAGGGTCCAAGGCCCCGAGTTCGGAGAAGATACTAGGATGTCCTACACTACAGACCAAAGGACCAGTGCTGCTAGGACAGCTTAATTTGACCCCAGGTAACAGGTGGGTCCCAGACAACAGGTGGACCCAGGCGACCGGTGGACCCCAGGCAACAGGTTGACCCAGACAACAGGTGGACCCCGGTGACCGGTGGACCTCAGGTGACAGGTTGACCCAGGTGACAGGTGGACCCCAGGTAACATGTGGACCCCAGGCAACATGTGGACCCCAGGTAACAGGGGCCCAGGGGTACCAGGATACCGGGGCCCAGGGGCCTAGGGGTGCCAGGGTACCGGGGCCTAGGGGTACCAGGGTTCCGGGGCCCAGGGGCCTAGGATAACCGGGGTACCAGGGCCCAGGGGCCCTAAGGTACAGGGGCCCAGGGGTACAGGGGCCCTGGGGTACAGGGGCCCAGGGGTACAGGGGCCCAGGGGTACCGGGGCCCAGGGTACCGAGGCCCAGGGGTACCAGGGCCAATGTCCGAGGGTGCAGAACCGGTACACAGAATATCGAAGATTACAGAAAGTACAGGGTACCAAGGAGCCAGTACTTCCTCCAAGAGTCGGCACGTGGCACTATCCAGATCAAAGGGTTAGGGTTAGGCAAGAAAAGCATACAAGGTATAAGGTAAATAAACACACTCGAATTTGCATTACACGTGGCAGCTTTAAGCGCCCCTCCTAAGCTTCTCCGTCGCCTCACCTCTTCCGGGCGGGATACCCTTTGGCCCCCCCGACGTCCAGCAGGTGTTAGACGGCTCAAGAAGCGCAAGTTGAACCTCGGGATAGTTGGCCTGAGGTGTCAAGTAAGTGTCAACACTCTACGACCCGCTACAGGAAGCGGTTTTCCTACGGGGAAGAACACAAAGGGGTCCAAGGACCAAGAACAGTCAGCCACCAAAGGGGTACATAGTACCAGGTGCATCTCTCTCGACATAGTCGATTGAGCCCAAGAAACCCGGTCCCAAGTGAAGTATATCCACTCGGGGACCACCAAGTCCAAGTCTTATACAAAGACCAAGTTTAAGTCTTCTACGTCAACCGAGGAGCAAGACCAGCCAAGACGACGGGTACACAAGGTGAGACCCAAGGTTAACACGACACGGTATCAGGGTACCCCCTCCGCAAGTCGGCAGTCCGGCGCTGTGTGTGTTTGTGGATCTCCTACGTTGTTTGAGAATCCACTCCACCACAATGGCAAGCGAGAATGTCCAGCATGAGGCCAGGATTCCCAAAATATTCTGAGGTATCAAGACGCAGATATGTCAAATATACTTGTGACTTGCACTCCCAAGCGACGCCAAACCCGCTTGCTTTTTTGTCAAATGCATAAACCGAGAAGCCATACGAAACGAAGCCCCTCCTCCCGCGAATCCGACGATCATGTGAAACTGTATGGGGGTCTTGATGGCGATTCGATAGCGATTCGTCTAAAGACCTGAGTCATGCGCGTTCTAATCGGGTTTAAAAACGTCCTTGAAAATGGCTAGAGCTCGCTACCTCGTTTTTTTCCTCTTTCTTGTCATCAGGATGGAAGAGCATTTCACCCACGATAATATCGACGATGTCCTTGTTCACAAGATAATGCACATGTGCTTGGGCTTGGCCTTAATGGGGCCGTATGGTGTTTCGATGCACCAGAGGAGCGTTCTCGTCTAATAATGTCTCCTTCTGCGCATTCGTTAGGTTACAATACCTCTCCCAGTAGTTACCATGCTGTCCCTTTATGTGCCTGTCGTAGACATCAGTGCGAAAAGATTGTTTGAAGTATTGATTTGTGGTGGAGTGGATTCTCAAACAGCGTAGGAGATCCACAAACACACACAGCACCGGACTGACGACTTGCGGAGGGGGTACCCTGATACCGTGTCGTGTTAACCTTGGGTCTCACCTTGTGTACCCGTCGTCTTGGCTGGTCTTGCTCCTCGGTTGACGCAGAAGACTTAAGACTTGGTCTTGTATAGAGGGACTTGGTGGTCCCCGAGTGGATATGCTTCACTTGGGACCGGGTTTCTTGGGCTCAATCGACTATGTCGAGAGAGATGCACCTGGTACTATGTACCCCTTTGGTGGCTGACTGTTCTTGGTCCTTGGACCCCTTTGTGTTCTTCCCCGTAGGAAAACCGCTTCCTGTAGCGGGTCGTAGAGTCTTGACACATCAGGCCAACTATCCCGAGGTTCAACTTGCGTAGCTTGAGCCTTCTAACACCTGCTGGACGTCGGGGGGCCAAAGGGTATCCCGCCCGGAAGAGGTGAGGCGACGAAGAAGCTTAGGAGGGGCGCTTAAAGCTGCCACGTGTAATGCAAATTCGAGTGTGTTTATTTATCTTATTCTCTGTATGCTTTTCTTGCCTAACCCTAACCCTTCGCTCTAGATAACACCACGTGTCAACTTGTGGACGAACAACTTTCTCTTTTAGGACATGGGACTTGTACCGGCTCTGCACTTTAAGGAAGCCTTGTACCTTCTATAACCTGGGTCCACCTGTCGCCTGGAGTCCACCTGTCGCCTGGTCACCTGGTTCACTCGTTCACCTGGTTCACCTGGTCCACATGGTCACTTGGGTCCACTTGGTTGCCTGGTTTACTTGGGGTCAACCGGTCCACTTGGGGTCAACCTGTCTCTTGGGGTTCACTGGTCACCTAGGTCCACCGGTCACCTGGATCAACATGTCACCTGGGGTCCACCGGTCACGTCCACCTGTAACATGGGTTCCACCTGTCGCCTGGGGTCCACCTGTCACATGGGGTCCACCGGCCACCTGGGTCCACCGGTCACCTGGGTCCACCGGTCACCTGGGTCCACCGGTCACCTGGGTCCATCGGTCACTTGGGTCCACCGGTCACCTGGGTCCACCAGTCACCTGGGTCCACCGGTCACCTGGGTCCATCGGTCACTTGGGTCCACCGGTCACCTGGGTCCACCAGTCACCTGGGTCCACCAGTCACCTGGGTCCACCGGTCACTTGGGTCCACCGGTCACTTGGGTCCACCGGTCACCTGGGTCCACCAGTCACCTGGGTCCACCAGTCACCTGGGTTCACCGGTCACCTGGGCCCTCCGGTCACCTGGGTCCACCGGCCACCTGGGTCCACCGGTCACCTGGGTCCACCGGTCACCTGGGTCCACCGGTCACCTGGGTCCATCGGTCACTTGGGTCCACCGGTCACCTGGGTCCACCAGTCACCTGGGTCCACCAGTCACCTGGGTCCACCGGTCACTTGGGTCCACCGGTCACTTGGGTCCACCGGTCACCTGGGTCCACCAGTCACCTGGGTCCACCAGTCACCTGGGTTCACCGGTCACCTGGGCCCTCCGGTCACCTGGGTCCACCGGTCACCTGGGGTCAACCGGTCACCTTGGGTCCACCTGTCACCTGGAGTCAACCTAAGCTGCCCTAGCAGCACTGGTCCTTTAATCTGTAGTGTAGGACATCCTAGTACCTTCTCCGAACTCGGGACCTTGGACCAGTTCGGGGCCTGGTCACTCCCTGTCACTCATTCAAGAGAGTGACCGAGGTCTTTCACGCCAGTTATTATAATAACTACGAAGGGCACCCCATTTCTCTGGCACTTCTCCACAGGATGTTGTTCGTAGGTTTGCGTTTGGCGTCAACCTTCTCTTCTCGACCGAAGTGTACACAGAAGCGGCATGATACCGACACGACTTCCATCGTCGATGGATTGCGCTTGCAGACCTTCCAACCATATGCGAGTATATGCGCCTCGATAACAATGTTTTACGCGCCGGAGGCATAGTTTGGGCGAATGATGCTCTCAACGAGTCCGAAACGCAGTTTTCTACGCAATCTGAATAGTGGCGCCTGGCAAAACTTCATAGTGGCCAAAAGTGGCGTTCGGGATTCAAACTATTCTATCAAAGTGGCCTGATGATGATACGTGGAGATAAAACCGGGAAGAAGAGCACTCCTATTCGAGCTGATAGACTCAAGCTCTTCCCTTCCATAGCGACGCGTCTGGCGTTACGCGCAGGACTCTTGGCGTATGGCGAGAAGGACGCACCGACAGATGAAGATGCTGGAGATGAAGACAAAGCAGTCAATGTAGATCCACCATGAGCTCCAATAGTGGCTGGAGGTCGTGATAATGCTGTAATAATCTTAGGCGGATGCAACGAGCCATTGCTGCTCATTGGAATGTTGATTTATTGGACTGTTGACGTCAGATGAGCCTGGCACAAGTGTCAAAATGATGACAATTAATTTCCAAATGAACAAGAGATTATAATAGTGACGTAGTACACGTCGTAGACAGAGAGAGATGGAGCTAGACGACGTAGACACTGAAGAGGAAGATGGAGTAACGCCACCGTAATCGAGTGATTCTTATGAGCGATTCTGATTGGGTAAAATCAATTGATTATAGTATTGGACACTGGTGTGGACAACTTAATTTGTCCACCATCTGATTGAAGTACAAGACAAAATTACATTACAGCGCATGAGTTACCGACTTGTCCTTTCTCTTGCATTGCCAGTCCTCTTGTCCTCTTCAACAAGTAATGGTACTATAGCTTTCTGCAGCTTGTTCACGTGCCACCAATGTGGTGCACTACTCAAATTCCAACATAGTCCAGTGTCCATTGAGGAGAAGATCATGAAGCTTCGACCGGTAGCCTACGAGCACCCGTCGGAGGTGTCCGAGCAACGAGACAGCAAGGGAGAAAACGAGGAAGACCAGATGCCAAGACTTACAGAAAAAACAGACGCTGGAGAGACCGCAGATGCAGATGAAGAGGAAGAAGCAGCACATATGGCAGCTAGGTCCTCACTAAGTCAACAGCAACAGCAGCAAAAGACGCCGGCTATTGTCCCCGAGATTGTGTGGGAACGACAACGTCTGGACTACAGCAGTGATGTTGGTGTTTGGGTGCCTGCTGAATTCGACCTCGTAAATAGGATTGCAGCTTACACGAGCTGCAATTGTGGAGATATTGGACAAAATATTGCCGATGTGGTGCCGGCGCGACTACTGAACAAGCCGCACTTGTGGATATCGGACTGGGAGGTGGATTACTCCCTCCCGCACTGCGATGAAGAAAGGTGGGTATATGCATCCTCGCACGTAGATTTTGGCAAGCTGGAGGAGCCTCATGTGCATCGAGAGGAGGCAGTGAAAGGTGGTGAGCTCAGTAGAACTGCCAAAAAGACTGAAAGGTCTGATGCAATGTCGCAAGAGCGTGTTGTTCGTCGAAGGTGTCTGATACGAAAGTGCTGAGTGATCTCAACTGGTTCCAGGAACTACTGGACTGCAGGTACGGCGAATGAAATTATATTTCTCCCTAAGAATACATCATAATGTGGTATAGTTGTTGTCTACAGCACGGTTCTACACAAAAAGTGGTTGCCTACTTGTCATGACTGTGAAGGAAGGTGCTGTCCCGATTTACTCAGTAAGTGAGCACCTGATTTTTTGTGCCACCTTTGAGAAGAGCTTATCATTATGCATTGTTCTGATGACTACTACAGAGTATTGAACGAACTGGAGGAGGATCGAGCTCAATACGAGGATTTTATGGCTCAAATCTGCAGACAAAGGGCGGGCATCAGCACGAACATTGTGCGATGATGGAGATTACGATACCGATGAGTGGCACATTGACCCAGAGCTTTGCGCTTTGGAGGAGGAAGAGCGGCAACTAAAGGCGGAGTTAGAGGCCATCGAGGATGAAATTATACAAGTGACAGCTAAGAGGCGTGAGCTTTGGTAAACTGGATAGATCTCGAGCGTTTGGTTCATGGCACGTTTGCTGAAGGAGCGTTCTTGCAGCATTTATTGGGTCTGAGTCGCGACGAGCGCCAATTCGTGGGTGTATTTTGCAGTGCATGCATCAGATATGCTGCGCCGTCTCCAGTGCTACAACGTGTGCAACGATGTCTTCCACATCTGGCACGACGGTCTGTTCGGTACCATTAATGGACTGAGACTTGGCAGGTTACCGTCTAAACCGGTGGAGTGGGTCGAGATTAACGCGGCAATGGGCCAGACAGTGTTGTTGCTGGCAACTATCGCTGACCGTGCCGGTTTTGAATTTTCACGTAACCGTCTCGTGTCTCGGGGAGCTTCTCCCGTGTAGTCAATATGTGCGGAAAAGAGTACAGTCTGTACAGCGACGGTGGCATGTTCCGCCGTCGAGGCTTCAATCAAGCTATGATTCTATTTCTCGAGTGCGTAGATGACGCAGGTCGTCGTGCCATGAAAGAAGAGCTATTGCTCAAGTTCCCGTACAAGGTAGAGCGCGGCAAAATCGGTGGTCTGCCTATTTCGCTTGGTAACGATGAGCAGTGGACTCGAGCGCTCAAGTACATGCTCACGCATCTTAAATGGCTCTTGGCTTGGATTTCGAAGCGCTATTGAAGGGATGAATAAAGAATGAGCAAGTCGGCAGAATATCTGCCAGGCAACATTTGCTAGCGCCATGACAGCGGACCAGCAAGTATAACGTGTGTATTTTGCGTCTTCTGCTTGGGTTTTTGTAAGTTCTTCACATGTCAGTAACGAAGAGACAACAGCCAAGATGTACTAAACATGGGACGTTATAAGAAGACGTTATAGTTCTGTGCCTGTGGACACCTTGGCTAAGCTACAGCAGTTGCTGGATGGCTTGTGGATTGCGTTAGCAGCGTGTAGTACCTCTTCCTGCGTGGTAGAGCGACCCACAGACAAGCGCAGTGTGCCTTTGGCAAACTCAGGAGCCACGTGCATGGCAGCTAGCACGTGTGAAATGGTAGTAATGTGTTTCTCGACGCGGTCTAGGTTCTTTTCCTGTTCGGTAGCCCTGTCTTGCTTGTGGCTATGACACGCTGATCCTGCACTTGCATAGACACCGTCGGCCTCTATCACTGTCCATTACACAGGCAACACCAAGATCAGCATCCTATAACCAACAAAGTCAAGTATACAAGACTTACAGTCGAGGAGACGCGATGCGTCAATGTTTTCAAAGCTGATGCTGAGCGTGTTAGGCAGTGAAAGTTCTGGGTGGCCGTTCACCTGGTAGCTAACATTCGTGAGACTGCAGTGCTTTTGGATCTGCTCGAGGAGGAACGCCCTGCTCTCTTGCATGATGACAGCGTACTCGTGCAAGTTCTTCTCTACAAGCGCACAAGCCTGGCCCAGTGCCGCCACTAGTCCCACATTCTCTGTACCACCACGACGTCCGTTCTCCTGCGACGCTCCGTGAATCATCGTGTCCAAACCATGCTTTTTTTACAGACGTAGAGAGCGCCGACACCCTTTGGCGCATAGAATTTGTGGCCCGCCACTGTCACCAAATCCACGTCAAGCTCACGACATTCACACGCACTTTACCAATCGCTTGACTGGCGTCTGGATGCATAGCCGATTCTCCTCGTCCTCGACGAATCGTCGCACTGCTCGAGAAATTGCTGCAACTGGCTGCAACGATCCAACTTCATTGTTAGCAAGCATAATGGACACCAAACACGTCTGTACGGTAAGCGCATCCAGCACATCTTGTACCTGAACATAGCCAAAGTTATTCACAGGCAAGTAAGCTTGATGTTAAAACTGCTGATTAGTTGTTGATACGACTTTCAACTTCATACAAAACAAGTAAGGAAAGTATATAAACAGTGTAATTGCTTTTTACCAACAGCATAAAGCACCTACCACCACTATCTGTCCCTACGTCATAGTAGAGGTACTAGCAGGACCTCCGATAGTAACTATGGAGTGTAGCATTAATTCTCCACCAGCTCTCCTCCGTCTTACACATATTTACTTGGGATTCTATTCCATCTTTTTTCGAAGTTTCTTCATAAACGAACTAAAATCTTTGTCTCCCTTAATAGGATTCTCCTTCTCCAGCGATTTCAAGAAAAAGCCGTTCCTGTGCACCTGTTTCATCACTTTTAGGGCTGCGCCATGGCCGACCTTATCAGAGAGTTTCTTATAAACTTCACGGCATCTGATGCTGCTCGTTTTGCCCTGTGTTCTCATGTACACGAAGTCGACCCAAAGCCTTCCAAGCAGATCCGTAGTCAAATCGGTTGGATTCGATGTTTTCTTCCCTTGAAGCTTGAAAAGTTCGAAGGTTGATTCTAAAAGTTTTGGCTTCTTCTTCATAAACTGGAGCTGGGATAATAGCAGGCCTTGAGCGAATTCAAAGTTTGCATCGCCCTTACCAATTTTAGCAAGAGCCCTCATCAGATCAAGATTCATCGTTCTGCCTTCCGATCCTTTAAGGAACTCGAAAGCCTCATACACCGAATTCTTTTCAGTGTTGAATGCAGCCCACATGCTGAATCCTGGAAGGTGGGGTATTTCTCCGAACTTGCTAAATTTGTTAAGTTCCAGATAATTGAATCGGTTTTCCGACGTGTATCCCTTTTCAACCCACTGCTTGATTCGATAGTTACAAATACTCTTAACCGTGTACCCGAATTTGGCTGAACTTTTTGTTTGAGCTAGGAATCTGTCCAGTTGACCTTCATCCCCCAATTTCTTAACCATAATATCGAACATCACTTTGGGCACATCTTCCTTGGGCGTGGTTTTCCCGACGATATATTTCCATACGGGAAAATTTGGGTTTTCAAATGGGTTTTTGAGTGACTTCCCTTCCTTGACGAGCTGCAACGACTCAAAGACCTCCTCGGGATTTCTTTGTTTGTTAACCCACAGCCACCATTGTGCTCGCATTCTTGTCATGATCTTGGAGTAGATCGTTAAAACACTTTGACGCAGTCTGGCAGGAAAACCTACCGCCTGTTTTCCAAAAGAGCTTCCGAGTTCCTTAAGTCCCGAGAGATCAGGAACTAGTCTTCTCAATTCACCAGTGCTGGTTGTCGTCACATCCGCGGTCGACCTCAAGTACCTCTTGTGTTTCAAGGGAGGAGGTATCAGATCCATATTCAATGTATCCGATGCCCAAAAGGTGCGTAGAGCATCCTCTGGTAACAGATCTGCCATCGCCATTCCAAAAGGCGAACACACAACGAGCATGATAACAAAGAGCGCCTTGGTAAGCGAGGTTTTCTTGGGCTTGACCGGCATCTTCGAAACTTAAAGTGACCTGGAGGTGTGGGAGCAACTTGAAGAGTGGGGGTGCTTGTAAGACCTCATCCGGGGACGGATCAGATGCCAATAATATGAGGTGGTTGATAGTGGCTGGAATATACTGCAATTTTCTATCACTGGCATCATCATTCTAAAGGTGTGCGGACAGTCACCGAAAGATCAGATGAATATCTGAATGGTACTAAAATTAAATACAAATCGTTAATCCACTATACAGTAGAATCTGTAAATTAATACTCGGAGGACGCCAATGTTCTTTAGGGTCTATCATTTAAAACAGGTATAAAATAACTGCTAGACATTGCTCACAATCATAACATCCAGTTCAATGATGGAGGTTATTGTTTTATGCAGACTTAGCTTAGACTGTACCATGTTCTGAAAAGATGCAGACAATCGCTTGGCATCAGATCAGATCTAGGTACTTTACAAGAAGATGGTCAGCGGCGATCAGTATTAGAATGTCAGTGACACATTACATCCCCAACCGCATTCATGGCTTTCAGCTGCAAGGCAACATCAAGCACTGGACTATCTCCGGCTAAATGATCTGTAGAAGGTCCAGGCCGAACAAAAAATTGCACCACAAGCTCCGGCGCTCGAGTAAAACCAACGGGCAGAAAGTTTTATGTTACAGTCTTGTATATGAAGAGAGCAGCGTCCAGCCATGGAGTACGCGGGGTATAGTAGTTAATGCCTCGTAAAATCGAGACACCTGAGCTTCATTTGACAACATCATGCAAGCGCGGCTAGGAAACTTCTGCTCGGGCTTCCACACAATATCCAGTTGCTGTTATTTCATAGCGTATTCGACATCTCCACCTTAATGGAGGACGAGTAGTGTGACATATCAGTGCACGTTGAATCTTCATACAGACGTTGTTAAAATGATGTAGACTAAAAAGTAGGGTGATAAGTGTGGTATTCCTTGAAGGAAGAACGCGTATTTACCATACGGTGACAATCATTGAAGATGTCATTGAGCCCTACGTGTTTGCTCTTTTTTTCGCAAGCAATACGCTGCAAGATGTTGCGGACCGCCAGTCGTGGAGAAAGTTGATGCTAGAAAGGAGATTTTGTCGGAGATTGATGAAGGTTCGTTACGAGAAACTAGACAACAAAAATGTCGTGACAGAAGTCGAGACTGACATCACTTTCTTTCGACAAACTGATGTCGTTGGGTGAGAAGACGAGACTGAGACTCCTGGATCTCTCGTGGAAACTCGTGTAGCTGTTGTGAAAGTTATCGAGGTTTCTACTAATACATTACTTAAGTTGCTGTGGAGAGGCCGTGACTAAATTCGCACTTGTAGCCAAGACGAATGAAGTGAAGTCAAGGAAAGTTATTACATTAAAACCGATGCTGTTGAGAAAAAGCTTGCGATTGAAGGTTGAGAAGACAAGCAGTTGTCAACGAATGCTAAGGAAGCTTTTGCTGTTGCTGCTGTTGCTGCAATCGAGACTGCTCCGACTATCGTTATGGTCGATTTGCTTTAATTAAGTAGACACCTTTGCGAAAGGTCACTTCGGGTGACGACAAGCCGAAGTCAATCTTACTTAATTAACGGTGAGTAAGTATGAGGAGAAGGAAAGCTCGAAGTCCAGTGACAAGTTTGGGTCGACCTAAGTCCTTAGCACTGTATTGACGCTTATCGGCCTCTTGCGCACATTGGGAAGCGCATTTCCAGAAGCTGCGGCTCATGCACTTTCCTACGATCTTCTCGTCTGTCGTTGCCACTCCCATCTCGGCAATTAAGCGGTCCCGTGATAATGTCTTTGAGACTGTGAATCCGAACAACGAGGTCAAGCTTCTTCAATGGGCACTTTTTCGTTACCATCCAGGCTGAAGCAGTACTTCATTCGACGGATTGTCAAGTTTAGGAGATGGGGCAGTACTAGCTCAAGCAAAAGAATGCATAGACATACAGCCTGGTGATATCGTTTCTTGCATGCGTATCGCCATTATGGCGTGTTGTGTGCCCAGGAGTCTCAGTCTCGTCTTCTCACCCAACGACATCAGTTTGTCGAAAGAAAGTGATGTCAGTCTCGACTTCTGTCACGACATTTTTGTTGTCTAGTTTCTCGTAACGAACCTTCATCAATCTCCGACAAAATCTCCTTTCTAGCATCAACTTTCTCCACGACTGGCGGTCCGCAACATCTTGCAGCGTATTGCTTGCGAAAAAAAGAGCAAACACGTAGGGCTCAATGACATCTTCAATGATTGTCACCGTATGGTAAATACGCGTTCTTCCTTCAAGGAATACCACACTTATCACCCTACTTTTTAGTCTACATCATTTTAACAACGTCTGTATGAAGATTCAACGTGCACTGATATGTCACACTACTCGTCCTCCATTAAGGTGGAGATGTCGAATACGCTATGAAATAACAGCAACTGGATATTGTGTGGAAGCCCGAGCAGAAGTTTCCTAGCCGCGCTTGCATGATGTTGTCAAATGAAGCTCAGGTGTCTCGATTTTACGAGGCATTAACTACTATACCCCGCGTACTCCATGGCTGGACGCTGCTCTCTTCATATACAAGACTGTAACATAAAACTTTCTGCCCGTTGGTTTTACTCGAGCGCCGGAGCTTGTGGTGCAATTTTTTGTTCGGCCTGGACCTTCTACAGATCATTTAGCCGGAGATAGTCCAGTGCTTGATGTTGCCTTGCAGCTGAAAGCCATGAATGCGGTTGGGGATGTAATGTGTCACTGACATTCTAATACTGATCGCCGCTGACCATCTTCTTGTAAAGTACCTAGATCTGATCTGATGCCAAGCGATTGTCTGCATCTTTTCAGAACATGGTACAGTCTAAGCTAAGTCTGCATAAAACAATAACCTCCATCATTGAACTGGATGTTATGATTGTGAGCAATGTCTAGCAGTTATTTTATACCTGTTTTAAATGATAGACCCTAAAGAACATTGGCGTCCTCCGAGTATTAATTTACAGATTCTACTGTATAGTGGATTAACGATTTGTATTTAATTTTAGTACCATTCAGATATTCATCTGATCTTTCGGTGACTGTCCGCACACCTTTAGAATGATGATGCCAGTGATAGAAAATTGCAGTATATTCCAGCCACTATCAACCACCTCATATTATTGGCATCTGATCCGTCCCCGGATGAGGTCTTACAAGCACCCCCACTCTTCAAGTTGCTCCCACACCTCCAGGTCACTTTAAGTTTCGAAGATGCCGGTCAAGCCCAAGAAAACCTCGCTTACCAAGGCGCTCTTTGTTATCATGCTCGTTGTGTGTTCGCCTTTTGGAATGGCGATGGCAGATCTGTTACCAGAGGATGCTCTACGCACCTTTTGGGCATCGGATACATTGAATATGGATCTGATACCTCCTCCCTTGAAACACAAGAGGTACTTGAGGTCGACCGCGGATGTGACGACAACCAGCACTGGTGAATTGAGAAGACTAGTTCCTGATCTCTCGGGACTTAAGGAACTCGGAAGCTCTTTTGGAAAACAGGCGGTAGGTTTTCCTGCCAGACTGCGTCAAAGTGTTTTAACGATCTACTCCAAGATCATGACAAGAATGCGAGCACAATGGTGGCTGTGGGTTAACAAACAAAGAAATCCCGAGGAGGTCTTTGAGTCGTTGCAGCTCGTCAAGGAAGGGAAGTCACTCAAAAACCCATTTGAAAACCCAAATTTTCCCGTATGGAAATATATCGTCGGGAAAACCACGCCCAAGGAAGATGTGCCCAAAGTGATGTTCGATATTATGGTTAAGAAATTGGGGGATGAAGGTCAACTGGACAGATTCCTAGCTCAAACAAAAAGTTCAGCCAAATTCGGGTACACGGTTAAGAGTATTTGTAACTATCGAATCAAGCAGTGGGTTGAAAAGGGATACACGTCGGAAAACCGATTCAATTATCTGGAACTTAACAAATTTAGCAAGTTCGGAGAAATACCCCACCTTCCAGGATTCAGCATGTGGGCTGCATTCAACACTGAAAAGAATTCGGTGTATGAGGCTTTCGAGTTCCTTAAAGGATCGGAAGGCAGAACGATGAATCTTGATCTGATGAGGGCTCTTGCTAAAATTGGTAAGGGCGATGCAAACTTTGAATTCGCTCAAGGCCTGCTATTATCCCAGCTCCAGTTTATGAAGAAGAAGCCAAAACTTTTAGAATCAACCTTCGAACTTTTCAAGCTTCAAGGGAAGAAAACATCGAATCCAACCGATTTGACTACGGATCTGCTTGGAAGGCTTTGGGTCGACTTCGTGTACATGAGAACACAGGGCAAAACGAGCAGCATCAGATGCCGTGAAGTTTATAAGAAACTCTCCGATAAGGTCGGCCATGGCGCAGCCCTAAAAGTGATGAAACAGGTGCACAGGAACGGCTTTTTCTTGAAATCGCTGGAGAAGGAGAATCCTATTAAGGGAGACAAAGATTTTAGTTCGTTTATGAAGAAACTTCGAAAAAAGATGGAATAGAATCCCAAGTAAATATGTGTAAGACGGAGGAGAGCTGGTGGAGAATTAATGCTACACTCCATAGTTACTATCGGAGGTCCTGCTAGTACCTCTACTATGACGTAGGGACAGATAGTGGTGGTAGGTGCTTTATGCTGTTGGTAAAAAGCAATTACACTGTTTATATACTTTCCTTACTTGTTTTGTATGAAGTTGAAAGTCGTATCAACAACTAATCAGCAGTTTTAACATCAAGCTTACTTGCCTGTGAATAACTTTGGCTATGTTCAGGTACAAGATGTGCTGGATGCGCTTACCGTACAGACGTGTTTGGTGTCCATTATGCTTGCTAACAATGAAGTTGGATCGTTGCAGCCAGTTGCAGCAATTTCTCGAGCAGTGCGACGATTCGTCGAGGACGAGGAGAATCGGCTATGCATCCAGACGCCAGTCAAGCGATTGGTAAAGTGCGTGTGAATGTCGTGAGCTTGACGTGGATTTGGTGACAGTGGCGGGCCACAAATTCTATGCGCCAAAGGGTGTCGGCGCTCTCTACGTCTGTAAAAAAAGCATGGTTTGGACACGATGATTCACGGAGCGTCGCAGGAGAACGGACGTCGTGGTGGTACAGAGAATGTGGGACTAGTGGCGGCACTGGGCCAGGCTTGTGCGCTTGTAGAGAAGAACTTGCACGAGTACGCTGTCATCATGCAAGAGAGCAGGGCGTTCCTCCTCGAGCAGATCCAAAAGCACTGCAGTCTCACGAATGTTAGCTACCAGGTGAACGGCCACCCAGAACTTTCACTGCCTAACACGCTCAGCATCAGCTTTGAAAACATTAACGCATCGCGTCTCCTCGACTGTAAGTTTTGTATACTTGACTTTGTTGGTTATAGGATGCTGATCTTGGTGTTGCCTGTGTAATGAACAGTGATAGAGGCCGACGGCGTCTATGCAAGTGCAGGATCAGCGTGTCATAGCCACAAGCAAGACAGGGCTACCGAACAGGAAAAGAACCTAGACCGCGACGGGAAACACATTACTACCATTTCGCACGTGCTAGCTGCCATGCACGTGGCTCCTGAGTTTGCCAAAGGCACACTGCGCTTGTCTGTGGGTCGCTCTACCACGCAGGAAGAGGTACTACACGCTGCTAACGCAATCCACAAGCCATCCAGCAACTGCTGTAGCTTAGCCAAGGTGTCCACAGGCACAGAACTATAACGTCTTCTTATAACGTCCCATGTTTAGTACATCTTGGCTGTTGTCTCTTCGTTACTGACATGTGAAGAACTTACAAAAACCCAAGCAGAAGACGCAAAATACACACGTTATACTTGCTGGTCCGCTGTCATGGCGCTAGCAAATGTTGCCTGGCAGATATTCTGCCGACTTGCTCATTCTTTATTCATCCCTTCAATAGCGCTTCGAAATCCAAGCCAAGAGCCATTTAAGATGCGTGAGCATGTACTTGAGCGCTCGAGTCCACTGCTCATCGTTACCAAGCGAAATAGGCAGACCACCGATTTTGCCGCGCTCCACCTTGTACGGGAACTTAAGCAATGGCTCTTCTTTCATGGCACGACGACCTGCGTCCTCTACGCACTCGAGAAATAGAATCATAGCTTGATTGAAGCCTCGACGTCGGAACATGCCACCGTCGCTGTACAGACTGTACTCTTTTCCGTACATATTGACTACACGGGAGAAGCTCCCCGAGACACGAGACGGTTACGTGAAAATTCAAACCCGGCACGGTCAGCGATAGTTGCCAGCAACAACACTGTCTGGCCCATTGCCGCGTTAATTTCGACCCACTCCACCGGTTTAGACGGTAACCTGCCAAGCCTCAGTCCATTAATGGTACCAAATAGACCGTCTACCAGATGTGGAAGACATCGTTGCACACGTTGTAGCGCTGGAGACGGCGCAGCATATCTGATGCATGCACTGCAAAATACACCCACGAATTGGCGCTCGTCGCGACTCAGACCCAATAAATGCTGCAAGAACGCTCCTTCAGCAAACGTGCCATGAACCAAACGCTCGAGATCTAATCCAGTTTACCAAAGCTCACGCCTCTTAGCTGTCACTTGTATAATTTCATCCTCGATGGCCTCTAACTCAGCCTTTAGTTGCCGCTCTTCCTCCTCCAGAGCGCAAAGCTCTGGGTCAATGTGCCACTCATCGGTATCGTAATCTCCATCATCGCACAATGTTCGTGCTGATGCCCGCCCTTTGTCTGCAGATTTGGGCTATAAAATCCTCGCATTGAGCTCGATCCTCCTCCAGTTCGTTCAATACTCTGTAGTAGTCATCAGCAGAAAAATGCATAATGATAAGCTCTTCTCAAAGGTGGCACAAAAAAGCAGGTGCTCACTTACTGAGTAAATCGGGACAGCAACTTCCTTCACAGTCATGACAAGTAGGTAACCTCTTTTTGTGTAGAACCGTGCTGTAGACAACAACTATACCACATTATGATGTATTCTTAGGGAGAAATATAATTTCATTCGCCGTACCTGCAGTCCAGTAGTTCCAGGAACCAGCTGAGATCACTGCCATCAATGCGGCGCTTTCGTATCAGACATCTTCGACGAACAACACGCTCTTGCGACATTGCATCAGACCTTTCAGTCTTTTTGGCAGTTCTACTGAGCTCACCACCTTTCACTGCCTCCTCTCGATGCACATGAGGCTCCTCCAGCTTGCCAAAATCTACGTGCGAGGATGCATATACCCACCTTTCTTCATCGCAGTGCGGGAGGGAGTAATCCACCTCCCAGTCCGACATCCACAAGTGCGGCTTGTTCAGTAGTCGCGCCGGCACCACATCGGCAATATTTTGTCCAATATCTCCACGATTGCAACACGTGTAAGCTGCAATCCTATTAACGAGGTCGAATTCAGCAGGCACCCAAAAAACCAACATCACTGCTGTAGTCCAGACGTTGTCGTTCCCACACAATCTCGGGGACAATAGCCGGCGTCTTTTGCTGCTGTTGCTGTTGACTTCGTGAGGACCTGGCTGCCATATGTGATGCTTCTTCCTCTTCATCTGCATCTGCGGTCTCTCCAGCGTCTGTTTTTCTGTAAGTCTTGGCATCTGGTCTTCCTCGTTTTCTCCCTTGCTGTCTCGTTGCTCGGACACCTCCGACGGGTGCTCGTAGGCTACCGGTCGAAGCTTCATGATCTTCTCCTCAATGGACACTGGACTATGTTGGAATTTGAGTAGTGCACCACATTGGTGGCACGTGAACAAGCTGCAGAAAGCTATAGTACCATTACTTGTTGAAGAGGACAAGAGGACTGGCAATGCAAGAGAAAGGACAAGTCGGTAACTCATGCGCTGTAATGTAATTTTGTCTTGTACTTCAATCAGATGGTGGACAAATTAAGTTGTCCACACCAGTGTCCAATACTATAATCAATTGATTTTACCCAATCAGAATCGCTCATAAGAATCACTCGATTACGGTGGCGTTACTCCATCTTCCTCTTCAGTGTCTACGTCGTCTAGCTCCATCTCTCTCTGTCTACGACGTGTACTACGTCACTATTATAATCTCTTGTTCATTTGGAAATTAATTGTCATCATTTTGACACTTGTGCCAGGCTCATCTGACGTCAACAGTCCAATAAATCAACATTTCAATGAGCAGCAATGGCTCGTTGCATCCGCCTAAGATTATTACAGCATTATCACGACCTCCAGCCACTATTGGAGCTCATGGTGGATCTACATTGACTGCTTTGTCTTCATCTCCAGCATCTTCATCTGTCGGTGCGTCCTTCTCGCCATACGCCAAGAGTCCTGCGCGTAACGCCAGACGCGTCGCTATGGAAGGGAAGAGCTTGAGTCTATCAGCTCGAATAGGAGTGCTCTTCTTCCCGGTTTTATCTCCACGTATCATCATCAGGCCACTTTGATAGAATAGTTTGAATCCCGAACGCCACTTTTGGCCACTATGAAGTTTTGCCAGGCGCCACTATTTAGTGTGTGTAGAAAAATGCGTTTCGGACTCGTTGAAAGCATCATTTGCCCAAACTATGCCTCCGGCGCGTAAAACATCGTTTATCGAGGCGCATATACAGAAGTATTCACGTGAGCATAATGCTGTCAGCTTCGCTAACGCTCAAGTTGTTACTCGCATATGGTTGGAAGGTCTGCAAGCGCAATCCATCGACGATGGAAGTCGTGTCGGTATCATGCCGCTTCTGTGTACACTTCGGTCGAGAAGAGAAGGTTGACGCCAAACGCAAACCTACGAACAACATCCAATATCTCAAACGAACTTTTCGCACTGATGTGTACGACAGGCACATAAAGGGACAGCATGGTAACTACTGGGAGAGGTATTGTAACCTAACGAATGCGCAGAAGGAGACACTCTTAGACGAGAACGCTCCCTGTGATGCATCGAAACACCATACGACCCCATTTAGGCCAAGCCCAAGCACATGTGCATTATTTTGTGAACAAGGACATCGTCGATATTATCGTGGGTAATGCTCTTCCATCCTGATGACGCGAAAGAGGAAAAAACGAGGTAGCGAGCTCTAGCCATTTTCGAGGACGTTGTTGGACCCAATGAGAACGCGCATGACTCAGGTCTTTAGACGAATCGCTATCGAATCGCCATCAAGACCCCCTTACAGTTTCACCTGATCGTCGGATTCGCGGGAGGAGGGGCTTCGTTTCGTATGGCTTCTCGGTTTATGCATTTGACAAAGAAGCAAGCGGGTTTGGCGTCGCTTGCGAGTGCAAGTGAAGGCAAGGTCACAAGTATATTTGACATGTCTGCGCCTTGATACCTCAGAATATTTTGGAAATCCTGGCCTCATGCTGGACATTCTCGCTTGCCATGGACATGTCCAATTACATGTCTACGTCGTACCTGGACATCCGCATTCGGCTATTCGTCCGTTACGAGATTCGTAGCTTCCATTTTCTAGTCATCCCGATGTTCAGCAGTCCCACTGGAGAAGAGATATTATGCATGCTGCGAATGCATTAGACATCATATGTCCTAATTGGCGGGATCTTATTGTTTCTATCTCGACAGACGATTAACGAAAGATAACCGGCAGAGTTCAAGGCGTCGTCACTCGCTTCGAGCAAGTCGCGAAGCCTGGAATATTTGTCTTTGGTGTGGCCAGTTTCAACTGAATATTATTCTGCAGCAATTTTTTAAGCGTTTATCAAATGAGCAGTTCTTCTCTGCAATGACCGGCCTCATCTCGTACTTACGAAGGCAGCAGAACATATTAACGAAATGAAAACGAAGGCCCAAAACGTTGCTGACACTCGATGGAAATCAATGTTCAAGGTACAGCTTCCTTTGTATTCGTGTTGGCTTTCAAAATTTTAAAATCTGATGTAGGTTAATGATTGGTTCCGGAAACATCGAGTGGCAGCACTAGCGTACCTTAGTGAGAAGAATCCTCCTTGCACACCACCACTCACCTGGTGGGTGGTCATCATCTTTGTCGCAAAGGTTTTGAGCGAGGCGACCATCACGTTTTAAAGTCTCGAAGGCTTGACGACCCTCGTTTCTCAGCAACACGTAGCCATCTTGAGGTTTCAAGGAAACTTACATGTCTTCGGTTCAGCTATTCAAAGATTGTAGGCCAAGCAGATGTCGACTATGTCGACCTTGAATTCTCTGTCCTGTCGCAGAATGAGAAGTATCCCATTGAGCTAAAAAAAGTCGAAGATAAATTGATTGATTTGGGAGACTTTTTTCAAGCAACCAGAAAAGAGATTGGGGTAGAAGAAGTGGCATCCAATGTCAAGAACATCGTCATTTCCTGCGTCATAATGATTGCTGGTCTAGCTAACATTGAGGCAGAACGAGACTCAAGGAACGATGCTGCTGATTCCATACCGCCTGTTCTGCCACATCAGCTTGTGAGACTGCGCGGTCGAGAGTTCACCGACATTATCCGCAAGCAAAAGGATCGTTTGTCCTACCGCTGAACCCTGCAACATATTGAGCTTTCTGAGCAAGACTTCAAAATCGGCAAGCCGCTTACAATCGCGAGCCTTCTTTAAAGCAGGACCTGGATCAGTGCGACGTCAAGACTACGTTTGTAGTTGGCTGGAACGACGTGCAAGAGTGCTATAAGCACTTGAAGGAGTTATGTGAAGGTCTGTACATTGCATTTACCGGCACGTATACGTGGAGAGTAATTTCTTTATTGTCAAATGAAATAAAGATGATTGCCGGACTGGTCTAACAGACTTCTATCTGGAAGGAATCCTACAGGTTAAGCCGTTCGATTAAATGTCGTCAATTTCAATGTGAGGCTTTTTTTAGCAAAATAAACTCATTTACTGACCATTTGGGTGACATACATGCCGGCATCACAATAAGCACGATTAAGACTTCATCAGGCGCCACCATTAGCTTAAAAGTGGTAATAGCGGAGATCTCTACTATTAAGGTGACCTGACCATCATGTTGGCAAAGGGGTCATTGGCCTCGTCCTCATGCTGTTAATGATGCTGCGTAGTAGCTACCATTTCCACCGGCACGCCCATCTTCGTAGCCACTAATGTAATGGGGTACACGACGGTTGGAATGTCATACCCAAAGTACTCACGGTTGAAGTTTCTATATTGCATATCATGTATTCTAAATACCGATCCTTGTAAAAAGGGGTATATCTCTGAGTGGCAGTGCAAAGTATCAGTAATACCTTATACTATCGGTATCAATTCCATAACTAAGACTGTAACAGGGCAACTAGTTACACGTAAACATTAAGTAATATACTTAATGTTTGGTCTAAAGTATCCCTGATTACTTTTGACCTGTCACTTGGGTGCGATACACAAATGTGATCCACCCTCGTGAATGTGATATCATTGATGGATTCACATGAGGAGGGATGACGCTAGTTAGAGCTAGGCATCGCGACGTCTCAGAAAGACGTCAGTTGCGATCTTAAATCTAGATTTAAGCTCATGCGACAGGATACGCTTCTAAAGAGTCGCGTATCCGATCTATATACATATATAGCCAATCAGTAGTTAAGTATATATTTAGTTATAATTAATTAAATATAGCTCAGTCTTGAATTTACTTAAACAAACGCACCACGCACGAGAAGTTGAAAAGCTCCTGCGTGACGTCGGTGCCTTCTTGTTAAGAAGTTCGCTGCACTCTCGCTTAAGCGAGAGGCAACTGGTGGTACGACTGCTTAAGCAGTCGACCAACCTCCTAACCACCCTCGCACGCGAAGGTAAGACGTTATAACCGCTCATTCGCTTGTGCTGAAGGTGTGTGCTAGTAGCACGAGGCAACTTCGTAAAAGTGCCCGGCTACACTTGGTAGAACTAGTAGTCCTTCCCACGACCCGTCTCTCTGAGCGTGCGTGTGGTTGACATGGTCCTTAATATGGACTGGAGTGACTTCATTCACCTCTCCCAACATCATAGGGAGTTGGCAGAGCATATGGCGCAGGGACTTGGTGAACAAGCCCTGGTCAATCTCTTGCATTGTCCTCCTGAGCAACATGTTGCTCAGTTGGAGCAATTTTAGGCGTTTGTGCTCGGACAGCGTAGAAACGCGACCGAGGAAAACAGCCAAGCCACCGCTGAGGCCACCACTAAGACTCAGGATGAGCTTAGGCTTGAGCAGGCGCGTAATGAGGCGCTCAACAGAACTGTTGAGACGTTCTCTGCCCGGCCTGCTCAACCGAGGCCCATTCGGATGGAACCTCCGAAGTTCGATGGAACTAGCCCTCACACGATTGTTCACTGGCTATTAGCAGTGGAGCAATGTGGAGTGGCGCAGCTCATCAAAGACGACACCAGAATGGTGTCGTATGCCATGTCCAACTTGCGTGGCAAAGCGTCAGAGTGGGCATACTCTGCGCTGATGGCTAATGCTGATGCATTTCCATCATGGGCGATCTTTAAGCCAAAGATTCGCGCCATGTACCAGCCGCCTAACAACGAAGTGTTGCTTATGGCGCGCTTCTTTGGAGCACGACAGGCGAAACGCTCTCTGCAAGAATTTGTGCAGGAGATGCGCTCGCTGTCGGCGTCCATTAATGGGGAACCGATACCAGAGCGTATCAAGGTGGTCACGTTCATGAATGGACTTAGGCACGGCCCATCGCGTCAGGCCCTTTTCAGAAAGGTGCCAGCGACGATGGAAGAGGCAATTGACATTGCCTTAGTTGAGGAGCAATCCTACAACAGCGCCTCGGTGACAGCCTATTACAGGCCGTCGACCGAAAGGTCTGATGCCACTCCTATGGAGTTAGGCAATGCAGATGTGATCTGCTACAAGTGCAGCAAGCGAGGCCATATGATGGCTCGCTGCTATGCCAAAGTAGCTGCTGGTGCTAAGGCAGCCAAGCAAAAGGTCGCCCAACCCAAAGGGAAGTGCGAAAAACCAGCGTGCACGACGCACGGGTTCAGCACCTGCCCAAGATGGGTCAGGAAATGCGGGAGCGCAGTAGGGGCGTGATGCCCTACTGTCGCGGACTCTGAAGCTACCCCTAAGCTTAGAGTGATCGAACAAATGGGTAGCATAGTCCCTGAGGTTCCGAAAGGTCGGACCTCAACCCTTTTGGTCGATAGCGCTCGAGTACGAGGCTATGACCAAGTGATGACCCTTCTCGTGGATTCGGGTGCATCACAAAACTTTGTGAAACTCGCGGCTTTGAAAAAGAGTCCGGCGAGTTATGAGTCGCTTTGCCAGGATGGCAAGCGAGAAGAGGCGATCGTTCGTTTAGCGAACGGCGCGCTCGTCAAATCGGAGGGAGTTCAAGTTGAACTCGCCTTTAGTTTCAGTGACTTTCTCTTGTAATGAGAAGTTCACAGTGCTAGTTATGGAGAGTCCGTATGACCTCATCCTAGGCATGACTTGGTTGGCTAAACACCAACCATGGATAGACTGGCGTACAGGCACAGTCGCTAGCTCTACGCAAGACACCGAAAAGGATTAGCTCTTGACAGAGGCTTATGTGGCTGATGCTGTGTCCAACACAGTCGAGGGTGCGATGACGGTATGTCAATCGACACCAGGAACTACCCAGTTCGAAAGGAGTGGTGTAGCTGGAAGTGCACTGGCGGAAAGCCAGATGACACATATTCCTACCCAGGTCGAAAAGACTGGTGTAGTGAATGGGACGATGACAGGTAGTCATGCGTCCAATGGTACTGCACAGAGCCGAGAGCCTGTGGCAGTTGATAATGGGATGACAGGAAGTCAAGCACCACACGAACCGGCACAGAGCCATGAGCCTGGTGCGGTTGGAAGGAGTGCGTTGGCTAATACAGCAACGAAACCATCTTCCAGGTCAAAGGTCGTGGTGAATCGAAGAACGAGCACAAGACGTATTAAGACGATCAAGGGCACGTCAAAACTAGTTACCCTTGGATCAGTCTCGGTCCAAGAGGAAGGACCTACGAACGAGTTGTTCGAGTTCGTCGAAGACAAAATGCCGGAGGCATCCTCAGTTGAGGTGCTTTACCTTATCTTGGCATCTGCCGAGGAGATAGTAAATCTCTCGGAGATGACGTGGGATATGTTCCTGTCCGAACTAAAGGAAGGAAAGATCCACGAGATAGTCGGACCAGTTCCAGAATAGAACGTGGTGGATTGTTGCTCTTCATCCACAATGGATGAGAGCGTCTTGAAGACCGATAGAAAGAAACGGTTCGCTGCTCAAGGCTGGGAAGCCTTGAAGTACAGCCCGTTCTATGATGTTCTGTGGAAACACCGTGATGTGTTTCCAGCAGAAGTGCCGATCCGCCTACCGGCCGATAGGGGCATCAGGCACGAAATTGACCTGGAGCCTGGCACCAAGTATTGTGTGACCAGGCAATGGCCGTTGCCGAAGGAACAAGTCGATTACATCGATTAGTTCTTCGACAAGCGAGCTAAGGCGGGACATGTACGTGAGAGCAAGTCGCCTCACTGCAGCCCGACCTTCTGTGTGCGTAAAGCAACAGGTGGATGGCGCGTGGTTCACGCTTATAATAAGCTGAACACGGCCACCATTCCAGCTCAAACGCCGATCCCGCGGAAAGATGTTTTGTTGAATTCCATGGGAAAGTCAACTATCTTTTCCGCGTTGGATCTGAAGGATGGCTACTATCAGGTTCTCATGATAGATACCGATGTAGCCAAAACGGCAGTAAGCACCCCAAGCGGTATGCTGTGGGAGTGGCTTGCGATGCCACAAGGGTTGTAAAATGCTCCGGCAACATTCAACCGAGTAGTGGCTCACGTGATGCGTCAGCACCGTGCCTACGCACCCCATTACTTTGACGATGTATTCGTGCATAGTAGGGCGGAGGACGGTCTGAGTTCAATAGAGTCGCACAAGCGTCATTTAGACGCTGTGTTGCAGACTCTGGGTGACGCCCAATTATACGTGAGCTTGCAAAAGTGCGTAATAGGGGTCCCCGAGATATCTGTACTGGGCTGCATCGTAGGTGCACATGGTGTACGAGCAGACCCAGAAAAGGTAAAGGCTGTAAAGGAATGGCCAGTCCCACGTCATGTGAAGGATCTGCGCCAATTCCTTGGGCTCGCTAATTACTTGCATAAGTACAGCAAGAATTATGCGGAGCAGACCAAGCCATTGTATGACCTTTTAAAAAAGGATACAGAATGGACTTGGTCAAAGAAGCAAGAAGATGCGTTCACATCAGTGAAGCAATCTCTTGTAGAAGCACCGGTCTTGGCATTGCCAGACGCGGATAAGCCCTTTAGCGTCGTCTGCAATGCAAGCAATTTTGCAATCGGCAGCGCGCTAATGCAGAAGGATGACAACGGCGTTGACCGTGTCATATCTTATCAGTCTCGGCTTTTAAAAGCTGCCGAGCTAAATTACCCTGTGCATGACAAGGAGCTACTTTCAATTAAGTATGCCCTTGTGAAGTTTCGGGTGCACCTCTTGGGCACCGAACCTTTTTTGGTTTATACGGATCACGCTTCACTGCGGACCGCTATA